GAATACAATTAATTTGATTAATTACAAGTGCTAGAGATACATGAAGAGTTTTTAAAAGTGTGTAGAGAGACTTGCTGAAATTTTGTCCAAAATGGGCTAAGAACCCACAACCATTGCTTTGAAGCATTAAATGGTTTGTATAGTGTTGTTTGGAGTTAGAATATGATAGAATACAATAAATTTGATTGATTACAAGTGCTAGAGGTTCATGAAGAGTGTTTAGAAGTGTGGAGAAAGACTTGTTGAAATTGGGTCCCAAAAGAGTTAAGAACTAGGAAACATTGCGTTGAACCAATAAATGACTTATCTAGTGTTGTTTGGGGTTAGAATAGTTTAGAATACAATGAATTTGATTGATTAGAAGTGCTAGAGATACATGAAAAGTGTTTAGAAGTGTGTAGAGAGACTTGCTAAAATTTGGTCCAAAATAGGCTAAGAGAACCTACAACCATTGCTTTGAAGAATTAAATGGCTTGTCTAGTGTTTTTTGGGGTTAGGATATTTTAGCATACAATAAATTTGATTGATTACAAGTGCTAGAGATACATGAAGAGTGTTTAGAAGTGTGTAAAGAGACTTGCTGCAATTTGGTCCAAAATAGGCTAAGAACCCACAACCATTGCTTTCAAGCATTAAATGGCTTGGATAGTGTTGTTATGGGTTAGAATATGTTAGAATACAATAAATTTTATTGATTACAAGTGCTAGAGATGCATGAGTAGTGTTTCACTACAAGAAAACAGGGAAACTGCGACTACAACAATAGTCGCGCAATAGTCGCTATTCCATAATGTATGACTATATGACGACTAAAACGTGTAGTCGAGTTTTGGTAGTCGCTAAACAATGTAGTCGGACTATAGTCGCAATTTAACGAATATAGTACGACTGTTATGAACAGTCACAACATAGTCGCTATATAGTAGGAAACTGTACTGACTTATTGGCGACTAAGTTACGACTGAATCACAAGAACAATGAGTTGGCTCAGTGTAGTCGAATTAGTCGTAGTGTTTTGCTGACTATTTTGCGACTATATGACGATGAATAGTGACTATTGAGCGACTGTTATGTGACTATGTTACGACTATTTGGCGACTAATAAAAGCTGTATTTATACGAATATTGTTGTATTTGGTTCGTATTCGAAATGGTTGTATTTGGTTCCTGTTGCTGTTTTTGGTTCCTATTTGTTATGTACATAAACTTAACATTCATAAACTATTAAATCCAAAAACATTCATAAACTATTAAATCCAAAAACATTCATTATAACATTAGATAAGGAAAGAGTACATGGTACATGTTAACATCAGGTTCATGTATCTGCATTACAAGAACAAAATCCAACAGATAGAGGAAAATGACAATGAGTTCAAGAGGGAAGATAGCTGAGAATTAGAGAGAGTAACCTAAGGTGGAGATGGAGTAGTAGGTTGAGCTGGTTGGTGAACACTGGTTGAGGAAGGCTGTGCTACTGTAGCTGATTTGGAAGCCATAAAATCCAGGAAGCGCGGATCATTTTCTCGAAGATATTCTGCTACCATGGTCAAGTGTTCAATCTGGCCCTTTTGCTCAGCCATAGCTCGGGAATGCTAAGCCACAGCTCGGGCTTGCTCAACTTCACGGGCAGCCACTTCTGCATCACGCTTAGCATTGTAAGCAACTTTCTCCTCGATCTTGCGTTGAGCTTCTTTCAGTTGCTCCTCCAATGCCAAAAATGATGTAGAGTTGTCTGGGTGATTCAGCTTGCCATTGACTAGACTATCCTTAAGGCTTCCAACTCCATAAGGAATGCCTCGAGAATCCATCTCCGTAGACTATGAAAGTAAGATAAAAGCAGAAAGTTAGTCTTTGTGAGCATGAAAAAGTAAACACAGAGAATCCGGAGGGAAAAATGTGACTTAACCTGAAGAAAGATGGTCGTCATCTCGTCTATTGTGAGCTCCCGAGGTGGTGAAGCGACATCTGAAAGAGCTGAAGTATTTGCTTGAAGCCCAGCCCACTTATCTTGCACATTCTTCTCATAAGTTTCACCAACTTTCTCCGCCTTTAGATCGACATACGAACCATCTGGCTTTGTATGAGTCTTGACGAAAAGTTCACCAAGACTCACAGGTCTACCCATTTTCTGTTCCTGAAATGTAAGCAAATAAACAAAAGTTATCAGAAGGTGTAAGATAACAGTTAAACTGAAGCATGTAACTTACCATTTCATATTGGATTTGTTGAAACGACTTAGGCCCTGAGAAGTGGACGTGAGGACCAAGACCCTTACGTGCAGAGGAGTAGGTTTGACTCCTTTGCTGTGCTTCTTCAGTGTCCCAGTAAGCGACCATAACATCCCAGATGGTGTCTACGATCCAACTTGGTTGCTCTCGAGTAGTCCTCACAGTGCTAATCATGTCTTTCAACCGGCGTTGACATATCAACTCAAATTGCTCTTGCACTTGGCCTATTATCAAGGGATCCCATGTGTGAGTTTTCTACAAAACAAAGATAAGAGAATGATGTTAGACTTTTTAGTGAAACAATATAAAAGTAAATATGTGAAGGCTATATATATAGAAGAACAAAAACCATACAGCGAACTCGATGAAGTATCTATCTCTTCTGTCATGAGGCACACAAGACCAGTTATAAAAGAGTCCATCAAATTTGTTAGTAAAGACTTTAACAACCTTCTTAACTAGTTTCGAGTTCCGAGTAAACCTGTAAGCACATGAAATATCAAACCAGAAGTAGGAGCCAGAGTAAACATTGTGAATTCAATCAAAACAAAGCAGCGAGATTGACTGAGATCAAACTAGAAATTTTAAACATTGTAATTCAATCAAAACAGAGAAGTGAGATTGACTGAGATCAAACTAGAAATTGTGAATAATATCAAAAACATATACTACATTTTACACTCTATACATCACTACGTGCACTTTAAAATAAGAGATTCCTTATTACTTGTTAAGACCACACTAAACAATTTCAATCTTCAAGTCCTTAGACAAACACCAAGACTAATTTTGGTTTATAAGACCAATTCATCTAACAAAACCTTAGACAAACACCAAGACTAATTTCTGGTTTCTAAGACTAATTCACCTAACAAAACCTTAGAAAAACACCAAGACTAATTTCTTAGACAAACAGCAAGACTAATTTGTGGTTTCTAAGACCAATTAGCAGAGAACTGAACAACACCAACATGCACAACAAGATTGTAAAAGGCAAGTGTCATACCATGTTGTGTTCGGAAAATCTTTGATTGAGAGGACCGTTGTATACAAGTGTCTATCCGGAATAGCTAGGAGAGCATTGAGAGCTCGGGCTGTGTTCTCCTGGAGTTCTGGCAAGACTGGAGGACAATCCTCCTGGAAGTTGTTGCCTAGCAAAGAGTTTTGCCTTCGATGCCCTAGAGCTTGAGAGTGTTGCATTTCATCCCCTGGAGCTTGAGAGTGTTGCCTTTGATGCCCTGAAGCTTGAGAGTGTACTTCTGTAGACGTCGGAGTCGCGGCATCAACTTCTTCTGTTCTGCCGCTCTGGAAAAGATGTTCTTGTGGTGGATAATTCCTGACTTGTTGTGCGGACATTGCCTGTTGTCGATGAACTGGTCCTTCTTCCGCTGGAGATTGAGTCAGAGGGACTTGAACTGGTGGGGTGAAATTATACTGGCTTGGTAGATTGGTCGGTCTTTTGGTTGCAGAAGTCGACCCTTCAGCTCTCTGAGAAACGTTGGGAACGTTTTTCCTCTTACGTCCTCGTCCGGCCTTATTTTCTCGAGGCATCGTTTCGTCTTGATGGAAGAAAGAAGAGATTGAGTCGAAGAAGAAGATTGAGTGAGAGGAAGAAGATGGAACTGGAAGAAGATGAGATCGAATGAGAGGAAAAAGAAGATTGAGTCGAAGAAGAAGATTGAGTCGAAGAAGAAGAAGATCGAATCGAAGAAGAAGACGATTGAGTCGAAGAAGAAGAGAGATTGTTTGGTCGATCGGCGTTTAGGGTTTCTGTTTTAGGTGTTAAGTGTTTCATAGAGCAAAACGCAGAGTGTTGGAGCTGGGCCGTAAATTTCAATAGCCCAATACTAATTAGTCGCCAAATAGTCGTTTTATTGGATCTGGGCTTTAATTTTGCGAAAGCCCAATCACATTTAGTCGGTTCATAGTTATCCTGTAGTCGCTATTATTTTACACACTTTATTAGATAATAATATGTTACAAGCATATAATACAACACATTAGTACACAATATAAACAATACAAAAATACAAAAATATACATATATTACCTTAGACTAAAAATAATTAGTATGGTTCTTCGTCATCTTCTTCTTCGTCACTAGAAGATGATAAATTACAACGGAATTCATCTTCAGGATCCGCATCTTCGATATCGTAATCAAGGTTTATTGGATTTTCTTCTTCTACCAAAATGTCTACTACAAGATCTTCAATAGTAGTTATCATAACAGCGTCATCATTTTCTGTTTGTAGAAGAGTGGGTTCATCATTATTTTCATATGATCCTGATATGTTTCCCCTCGGATTGACTTTTAGAATATTTTGCCCTAAGTGTTTTGGTTTTTTGGTGTATGGATATGGAATATAACAAACTTGATCCGCTTGAGAGGCTGTCATGACAATATTAAAAATAAATATATATATATATATAATCTGTACTTACCTAGAATAAATGGTTCGTATTTGTTATCTATGTACACCTACCACAAACGAAAAAATGTGTTTTACCGAACTTAAACGACGGCGATACTAGTCGGCATTAAGTTGTTATTTATTCGACCCGCCGATTTAGTCGGAGGGTAGTCGCTAATGAGCGACTACTAGCTGACTAGTGGACGACAAACTTGTGTAGTCGCCGAATAGTCGTCAAAACAACGACTAAAATATATCATCGTGAACTGGTCGCAAATTACCGACTACTCGATCACAAATTACCGACCTACAATATATAGTCGCCTATTAGTCGTTAATATCCGACTATGTGACGACCCATTCTTGTAGTCGCTACTTACCGACTATTTAACGACTACAGAAAATATTGTCGGTATGTAGTCGCTACTGAGTTGCCTTATAGCCGCTAAATAAGCGACTATAGATATAGTCGGTAATTGTAGTCGCATTTTGCCTGTTTTCTTGTAGTGTTAGGAGTGTGGAGAAAGACTTGTTCAAATTGGGTCCCACGTGGTCTAAGAACTCGGAAACATTGCGTTGAACCACTAAATGACTTATCTAGTGTTGTTTGGGGTTAGAATATGTTAGAATAAAATGAATTTGATTGATTACAAGTGCTAGAGATGCATGAAGAGTGTTTAGAAGTGTGTAGAGACACTTGTTGACATTTGGTCCAAAATGGGCTAAGAACCCACAAAAATATGCTTTGAAGCATTACATGGCTTGTCTAGTGTTGTTTGGGGTTAGAATATGTTAGAATACAATAAATTTTATTGACTACAAGTGCTAGAGGTGCATGGACAGTGTTTAGAAGTGTGGAGATAGACTGGTTGAAATTGGGTCCTAAATGGGCTAAGAACTCGGTAACATTGCGTTGAACTTCTAAATGACTTATCTAGTGTAGTTTGGGGTTAGTATATGATAGAATACAATAAATTTGATTGATTACAAGTGCTAGAGATGCGTGAAGAGTGTGTAGAAGTGTGAAGAAAGACTTGCCGAAAATTGGTCCAAAATAGGCTAAGAACCTACAACCAT